CTTTTCAACTGAAACCTGAACAAATTACTTTTTGTTAAGTTATTTTTGTGATGACACAATCTTGTTTTAGATGGGCTGATGATGATAAATAATGAATGTTTGATTGTCAAATGATTTGTGTTAATATTTGAGTGTGATTTATATTTAACCAGGTATTAAAAGTACTTTCATTTATCTATATTTTTAAATGCGTTATATAAACTCCGCACTCTACTTCTATACTTATCCGTATTAGAAAAAAAATATGTATTAAAACTTTGTGTTGCACGTATTTCATTTTATTCCATACCTCACAGTTAGGCGATGCAGCTTCCCTCATTAAGAAGGCAAACTTTACCTATGGATAGTGGCGAAACAACGAAGTCTTAACGCTAATTCAAAAAGATGTCGAGGAGGACATTAGCAGTTACAAAAGCAAGAACTTCATGGGAATTCAACGAGAGAAATAGGTTAGGTAGCTGTATGTCAACCCAGTGTTGTGAACACGTTACAGAGGCATCGCTGTGTGCAAAACTTTGTTGATCAACCTTGCAACCTTTTCTGCTCAGTAGCACTACCTACATCAGATTTGTGACAGCCCAAAACCCGATAATAATCAATGTCAGTAAAATAAAACAGGGTAATGGGCTGGATGTAGCTGGACTGCTGTTGGTACCGAAGTTTGTTACATTAGGCTGGATTACGAACAAGAGGATGATGGGCATCCCCGATTTCACGTGGCGCAGATATCAATCTATTAATCAACATTCATAATTATTTAATATTTATTTTTTCTTTTTCCTGTTTTACAGTTGCAACAGCCTAAGAAAAAATTTCTTTTTTTTTCTGCAAATAAAAAAAACAGAAAAACTCGAATAGGTACCTTTTGTGCACACTGTACCTGTTCGATGAAATTTGTTTTCCATATTTCTTTTCAATTTATACATCACAGAGACAGATTACTTACTTTAAAAAATACTCTTTGCAAAAAATTTATTCTTTAAATTCGTTTAAATAATACGGTTTTTAAAAAGCACACTTTAAATGATGAGTAATGGAGTCTCTACGACTCATACAAATGAAACATACTTTTATTAATTTTATTACTCCAATGTCATACTGATAGCCTTGTCACTTGAGGTTCAATGAACTACACTGGCGTAGCGGTGACGTCATCGACCGCTACGTCGTAGTCGTCCGTAGCATAATTTATTTCTACTATAAAATCGTTTGTCTTTTTGCGACTGTATTTTTTTTATTTTTTATTTAATGCAATCGTCGGTCAAGGTCAAAATAAAAAGGAAACAGTGTAGCGAGTAGAATACCAGCTATTGTATTGTATAATTTATGGAAACATAGTACTCAAAATTAGATAAACCATTAAATGCTGGATTTACACAAAGTGACAGTAATCCCCTAACGTTTATCGTACAAACATAGCATTTTCAAATATTTGTTTTTAATGACTTATTTTGACTGCAATATTTAAGACAGTATTAATAATATTTTCCTGGCCGTGAGATAATTTGTTACTCCTCTGGTATTGCAGGTATGCATCACATAATATGATTAGCCTGTAATTCCCCATTGCTGAGCAAAGAACTCACGATTGCTCAAGGAGGATTGGCGATTTCAAACAAAAAATTAGAAATTATAAATACAGACCGATTTTTTCACAATGTTTTCTTTCACCTTATTAATCATAAACGTTCATTCAACTCAGATAAAGTGATATTGATACTTGCAAAGCTTCGAACCCTTAAGCATGAGGAACACGCGTCTTAAACTACCATCACGTTGCAGGTTACATATTACATGGGCCTCGATTATTTACCATCAAGTGATCCGTGCACTCATCTACCACCAATCTTATGATAAAGAGGTTTATCCAGTTTCATGTACTACACTTCAACGATACCTAGTATAAAGTTAGAACCATACAATAGCAGTACTATCGATATGATATACAATACTAAACATAAAACAAAGAAATAAAGAAATTAAATGTTATTTCTAAACGAAAGCAAAGATCATTGATTCCTAGAAGATTTACCTACAGCTTGTCTCCTTGGAATTCTAGAGGTAAGGTGAAAGTCAAAACCATTTATTAAGAAGCTTGATATAAATGGTTGCCTTCACTCTAACTCTGAAAAAAGATTCATAGTTTCAAATTACGTTGTTTGTAAGGGACATCCTAAGGCCACCGACAAAATACACGACCTTCTTGTTGGGCCTAAAAAAGTAAAAGAAACATTTTGAATAATATTAAAAACAATTTCTTCTTTCTAATCTTTACAACAGACTATTATTCATATATTATTTTTATTATCATTTATTATTTATTATTTATTATTTTTTATTTCAGAAGTAATTATCTTCTAAACTTTATGGTGGACTTGTTTTTACTTTTTTTCCAAGCGCATAGCTTTATGGGGAAAAATAATGGTTTTTCTGGTGTACTAAAACCTCCCGGTATTCATGCACTTTCCCTACCTATAAAAGGGACCGGGTCCTCTCTATGGACCAACTGCACGGTTGGTGCGGTGGCTGAGCAATTGGATACCGTGCAACGTGTCGCGGGTTCGTTGTTGTTGTTCCGGGTGTATGTGAAATTGTATGTTTTTAACCGCACCTACCACACAGTAGAAAATCCTAGTGTAGGGCAACATTTTTTTAATAAAAAGAAAAATTCTCTGGAGTCCCCACGACTCAACGTCTGGTGTAACATGTCTAGGATGACTTATATACCCAGCTACCTTATAAAAGTTAAAGAACACATTGTTAGGCTCCTAATTGTAATGTTTATTAAGTAGTAATTATGTAAATGGAAAACAGATTTTATTATAAATAGCAAAAAACTTATATTTCAAGTAAGCTCCTAAGCTTCAACAGTATTATATGGACTATAAGCTAACCATAGCCTGTCAGTTCTGGTATACACGAAACGCCATCAATCCGAGCAGTTGTACGCCAAGTCTGAACAAAGCCTTACTTGAATTATAAAGCAAGTTACTTCTCGGAAATGTATTTGGGTTACTACAATGAAGATGAATACTCCATGTTTGCTGACAAGCATTTATATAAGTACCTACCTGTATGTATATACATATATATACGGTGGAGTTTTACGTATCTTATGTTGGGTATTGTGATGAAGACATATAATATTTCATCTCCCCTTGGAGAAATAGAAGATATTTTATATTACAAAACATCCAATATTAAATTTTGATTGGTACGTCAAAAACAACTGCAACTGATCGCTTCTTGTTTTAAGTAACACCTATAACTTATTTGTACTAATTTAATTATTTAGGGTACTTATAACATAATTAGTTTTTTCATGTAGTAGATCGGCAAACGAGCAGGCGGATTACGTGATGGTAAGTAATCAGCGCCGCCCATGAACACCCGCAACGGAGGAGTTACGTGGCGTTGCCGACCTTTTAGGGATAAGGGATTTGGAGATTTAGGGATTGAGGAGGGATAGGGAGTGGGGAAGGATTGGGCCTCCGGTAACCTCACTCACACTGCGAAACACAACGCTGTGGTTGTTTCACACCGGTTTTCTGTGAGGCCGTGGTGTCACTCCGGTCGAGTCGACCCATTCGTGCCGAAGCATAGCTCTCCCACACTAAAAAATATCAAAATAGACTCTAAAATTCAGTTTGGAACAATCTCGCACTTAAAATCATTTGTGACCATTGCTCCCAAAATCAGTGTTAACATATCAGAATTCTCATAACCCTCAGCTTGATCGATCTGAAGTGTGTCACAATTATGTTGATATCTCTATCACTCATAAACGTTTATATCTTATTTCATCTCGCTCTCTCATTGAAATAGGTAACTTCAGAGAGGTCAAGATATACAGGTAGTCTGTTCAATGTTTTGTTTTAATTATCCTCATACATTTTGTTACATTTCTCCTCACAATGTTATTTTAGGTTCCACCTTTACTTTGTAGAATAATTTTCTTTTTAATGTTTTATTTAGTAGCTTTCGTTCATTCTATTAAAAGATTTTTCGAATTTGTTTTCATTGAATAAAACCAGTGCAGTTTATGAATGAGATTTGTTTCCCGACTTCAATTTGAAAAAGATAAGGACAATTGTGTGTCTGTTCATCAAATTCATAATTTACGTCTTCTCTTGATAATCTTGTTTTCCATACAAGCTTTTCTGCTTGTATCCAGTTGTGGACGCCAAAAAGCTAATGCCGATCACAATGATTATGACAATGATAATATCCGGTAAGGAAAGTCGCTTAATTAGTTCTATTGTATTAAAAGCTAAGAGTTTTTGTTTTGTTTAATTTGGCGATAAATCGCCCATTTTACATTATCATATTTTATTTGTCCAGTACCTTTGTTTTTACGGTGTGCAATCAGGTGTTTATAAGTGTATATATATAATAAAAGGTGAATCTATTGTGGAAGTTCGACACGAATTCAAATATTATACATAGCTAGGCGCTTCAATCATTACCTTAGGCCAAAATTCAAGGAGTAAACGAGTCAAGAAGATACACAATAATATTTATAAATACATTTAAGAAACGAGTATGTTTTCGTTGTCTTTATTTTTATTGTATCAGTATTTTTATATTATTTGCAGTACTCGTATACCCAAGTGGGTCGTAAGCGTGCTTTTATTAAATTAAACATTGTGTAATTAACAAATTGCCTATGACGTCATATTCCGTTCATAGGCATGATTGCTGGTGAATTAATTAATTTCCTCTATTACAGGTTGTATTAAAATACTGTGGATAATTAATACAAATATTAGGTATTATATTTAGTATTTTAATGCAATATTTAAAAGATATAAAGTATCTGGCTTCAAATTCTATAAAAATATAATATTTTTGAAAATTTTAATAGTGGAAAGTAGTTTACCAAATAATAGCCAACTAAAACAAAATTCAATTCTAACAATTTGACACACAAAATTTAACTAAAGCTACAAAAGATTAAAGTATATTTTTGGTATTACCACAGTATTCACGTTCTTCATTCTTCACTCTTCATCATCCTCGTCGAAATCATCATCTAACATGGTCGTAGAAGTATTGAAGACTGCCTTCACAATAGATTTCAGTGTCTTTCTAGCACTTTGCCGTAGAAGGGTGAGTTTGAACTGCATTAGCACGATCAGATAAGTTGACATGAAGGATACGTTCTGAAAAATGCCATTTGTTTTCCTTAATTTTCACAAAAAGTCATAACTGATTAATATAAGCAGAGGAAAAAGCAATTTTTGTTTTAAATAACAGATTTTTACGTGAATTGAATTAAAAAAAGATATATTAGTTTCAAGTTAAAACGGGACTCTAATCAACGAACACGCTGTTCATGGATAAGAAAAAGTAAATAAGAAGATAATTTTTAAGTTTTCTCATAAGACTACGTCATTCTTTTAGATCAAATTTGAAATAACAATGTATACTGATTAGAAATTTTAGGTCAAGATTGGCTCACTATGTTTTCCTACACTGTATGTCAGTGATATCTGAATAAACTTAAAAAGTACATTATAACTTGGAAAACGTGACATTGATAGGTGCCCGGTTCCAAACCCTCAATCTCATACATGAGTAGTGGGCTATTTACATATGTCCGAACCACAACGACTTATAGAAATGATATTTTAGTATTAATAATATATTTGAAATCGATCAATCCTTCCCCTCCCCCAATCTCTAAATCTCCAAATTCCCTACTCTCCAAAAGGTCGGCAACGCACTCGTAACTCCTCTGTTACGGGTGTCCATGGGCGGCGCTGATTGCTTACCATCAGGTAATCCGTATGCTCGTTTGTCGGTCTATTACATAAAAAAAAACAACCAAACATTCATTATGAAGACATCTTTTCATCTCTGATCATTGTTAGGCTTTTGAATTGAAATAATCTTTACGTAACGTTTCATTATTACACTACAAAAACTAGTTACCTATATTGCTTCAACCCATTTATTAGCTAGGAAGAACTAATAACTCGCTATTAATATTTTCCAAGAGGGTTCATTCGCAAATAAGAAAAATAACTAGCGGAGCCCCAGCGCTGACTCTGATTGGCAAATAATGAATGACTCTTATATTTAATAGATGGAACATTAGTTCCGGGTCGACGACTTTTATGGATAATATCTTCTTTTACTTGTAATATCGACGATAAAACTTAATGTTTCTATAAATAGAACCGATCGCATTTTATTAGGGAATCTACGGGTCATTTGTGATTGAGATTTTATCTCTAATATGTTGAATAGCATTGGAACAGAGATGAAATTATAAGATTTCATTTGAAATTAAAAAAGTAAATCAGAAAATATTTTGTTTATTATTTTGTCATCAAAACTTTTGTTATTGTCACACTCGGTTAGACCGGAGTGATACCCTACCCTCATAGAAAACCGGCGTGAAGCAAACACAGCATTGCTTCTTCGTATGAGTAAGGTTGCCGGAGGCCCATTTCTTTTTCATCTGCACGGTTGGCGCGGTGGCTGCAGCAACGTGTCGCGGGTTCGATTCCCGCACGGAACAACACTTTGTGTGATCCAGAAATTGTTGTTTCGAGTCTGGGTGTGTATATGAAATTGTACGTTTATAAACGCACCCACGACACAGGAGAAAATCCTAGTATGGGGCAAAGTTTTTTTAAAGAAAGATAAAAAAAGACAAGAAAACCTTTTATTCCCTGCCCCTACCCCTAAATCTCCGAAACCCGAATCCCCAAAAGGGCCAGCACTTGCCGGTTGCACTCGTAACTCCTCTAGTGTTGCGGATGTCCATGGGCTGCGCCGATTGCTTCATCATCATCATCATCAGCCTATAAGTGTCCACTGCTGAGTAAAGGCCTCTCCTCACACGGAGAAGGTTAGAGCATTAATCACCACGCGGGTTGGCGATTTCAAACTTATAATTAGAAATTATAAGTCCAGGTTTCCTCACGATGTTTACCTTCACCGTATGTCAGTGGTGTCTAAATAATCATAGAAAGTACGTATAACTCGGAAAAAGTCACATTGGTACTTGCCAGGTTTCGAATCCGCACCCTCAGGCATGAGAAGCGGGCGCCATAACCCTCGGGCCACCACGACATTGTTGCGGGTGTCCTGGGCGGCGCCGATTGCTTACCATCAGGTAATACGTTTGCGGTCAAATCACGTAAAACACATATTTTAAAACTAGATAGATGGAACTTATAAAAAATTGTTTAGTTTCTTAAAATATGTAAACAATACTTATCAATAATCCATGGTTTCTTTGTACAGAACTCATATTTTAGGTACATTGATCCAAGCAATCAGGTCTTACAATAGCCAAGCAGAGCCAACCAATCGTATTCATTATGTACATGTAATAAACCATGTTGACGCTAACAACTACATGCAAATATACTAGACCACAAAGTCTGGTTAGTCAAATTCTGCCTAGAACTGTGGTCGTCTACCCACAAAGTGTTTGTACTGCGAGGGAGCAAAGTTTTAGCTTAAGCTTCATATTGTTTTAGTTGTCAAACCAAATGTTTTAAAAGCTATGTTCATTACAACGTACTATGAAGTTTTTTTATTGAAAATTAGCTATACACAATGGAGAATGAAACTGCGCCCAGACCGGTTATGGGATACCTCTTTTTTTATGAGGGAAAATCGAATCGTCAGATCGTCAGAGCCTTACTGACTATAAACCCCCACATCCCTTCTCCTGCTCTAGGCCGAGGCTGCGAGGCCTCATTGTGCTTACTCAGCAACCCCGGCTGAACATCAGCCCTTTGGGGCTCCCTTTGCCCAGCCTTTTTCTCTGGGTGCCCAAATTATACAATTATTGTAATTATCTACCTACGTGCTTAAACAAATATCTTCAAATTAAACTATTTTCATACGTACAGCGGTAAACAGTTCCCTGTTTATATTAGTGAAACCATCAAGGTTCATGATGGGTGGGTTCTTCGAAATAGCCACTAGAAACATCTCCACTTCCCGCTGTGTACTTCTGTCTATTGCTCCAAGATTAACGTTTAGAAGACGAACTTGAAATTCTAATCCCACCTGAAAGAAAGCAAGTTATATATTTTGTACGAATGTATTGATAATTTTAAAATTACTGTGGAAGCTTTTATTAAGCACTAGCTGACCCGGCAAACTCCGTACTGCCTCAAATATGTTCTGACTTTTTAAACCTTACCTGGACTTCAACGAAAATTTCCAAACCATAATTACCCAAAAACGGATCAGCCGTTCTCGAGTTTTAGCGAGACTAACGAATAGCAATTCATTTTTATACATATATATAAGAAGATGGAATGTTTCTAAAAGCGATCACTGCGTTAAGTTTGGCTTCCAAGTTGGATGTCTTTTTTTGTTTCCAGATTATCAAAAATACAAGTGTAATAACTAGGTACATGAAAATATGCTAAAATAGTACACGATGACCGACTTTCAAACATATCTTACGTAATTATAAGCGTGATGGAATGAAGCTTATTTTAAACTATTCTTTCTATTACTTACCTTCCGAGACGCATGATACGCCTCATTACAAATGATATAAAGAAGAGTCATGCAGTACCCAACAATTACAAAGAGTCCCATCTCTTTATAACTCAAACCGTGTTCCAAAATTTCCGACAATGCTCCATATAGAGAAATAGTTGTCGTGAAGAAGATTACCATGCAGTAGATTCCGTACATGTTCGAGTATGCGCGACCTGTGAAAGAAAGAAATATAGCAAATACTAAATACACGTAAGGCGTTGTCGATCATAAAAAAAAACATACATTTATGTTATTTCAGGGCAACAGCCGTACTTAATCACTACATAGTAAAAAAACAAAGTCGCTTTCTCTATTCCTACATCGCTAAGGAGGCTCAAAAACTACGCAACGGATTTTTAATGCGGTTGGCATGAATGATTGATTGTAGAAGACGGTTTATATGTATAAAAACACCCATTAAATAAGGGAGAAATTTAGTATCAGCACTGCATCCGTGCGAAGCCGGGACATGTAGCTAGTCATCATAGTATTGATACAAAATAAATTCTGTTTTGCGTGCCAACGTCAGATGTACACAACATTCCATCAACAATGATATTATAATAATGGCAAAAGAAACGTAACATACTTATAAAAAAAGTGGGTGTGACAAATTTATTCGAGAGACATAAGTAGTTGATGGAATTGAGCTAGTAGCCGCGGTGTTATTTCCATTTTGTCTGTGTGACCGCTAGAGAAAGCAATATCATAAGACTCAATTTACCATATGGCACACAACACTAATTAATAGTGTTCTACCTTCAAAACATCAGGATGAAAAACTTTAAATACCAATGTGCCTATTTTTACATAAATTTCCAAAAAATATATATTTTGCTATAAATATAACGTTTCCTTGAAAATAAAATCAATTTTATCTTTATTGAGCCATCAATGTCTAAACACAAAATTGATTTTAATAATTATTTTGGGAGACAACCTTGTACTTAATTGTTTTGGCGTGAAAACAGTCTTCAAAAAGTTATAACTCTTCTTAATCCCCAAAACAACGTCGCCTTAATATTAAAGCTGCGGGAAACTTTTATTAATTAATGGAATTATTGACAGTTTTCCTGATTCTAATATTCTTATATTTTGTTCATTTCAAATTCATATAATCCTGATTTTGGTTTCATTTTTGGACTTGTCTAGGTAAACTAACACAATGAAGTCATACTTAACACTGGATTATGTACGTAGTTTTATTGTATCGTTACAGTTGAAAATGATTCCACGGGTAACTTGCATTAGGGGATAACTATGTTAAGTCTAATGAGCCTAAAGGGGTCAATCTAGGACCGAGAAACTATAAATTGTAGATACTTAAAATCCAGTATAGATAAAAAAATTCATCCTATCGTAGCACGAATCATTGAATTTAATAGGCGTCACTTTGTACAAAATGTATGGAATCTCTGCCATGAAAACAAACAACGCAGTTAGTATGGTCGTTGGAACAAAGAGAGCTATTCGCACCAACGGGCATGTAACAATAAGTACAGAACATTTGCTAAACTTGTGAACGATTTCTTGATACTTTGTCGGGTTCCGCAGAGATTTAGAAAGTGTCCATTTTGTACTTCACTAGCTATTAGGCGCGACTTCACTTAAATTTTTTAGATATTTCCAATTGCATTTATGTAAAATTCCAAGAAGAGCTGATGGAAAGCTTATTTGTGTAACAAAACTTTTTGCCTGTTAATTCAAAACACAATTAAATAAAGTGGGGTTTACTAATCCACACAGTATGCTCAGTGGTCAGCAAAATTGTCTAGATACCTTAGTGCCTATTCTCCATTGCACGTTTAAGTTCAAGTTAACGAAAATTAAACTAGATAGCGATAGCGTATCACCCGATTTTTATTTTTAAGTCCCTGTGCGCTACTTTACTGACATCGCTGTGAAACAAATTCATATAACTTTAAAAAAACGTCATTGCTATTAGCGTCCTCTGTCGCAGTAAATTTGAACATCTGTTTCATAACATATAACTTTCGTACCACCTATCCTGTTTCTATAGATTTGCTTAATAAAGTAGAATGTTGCCACAATATTTGTGAATATTAGTATAAATTTCTTAAATCAAGGTAGGTAAAATGAAACCAACTTTTCTTTTAGAAAATACATCACAAAATAATATTTACTACGGAACTCTATTCCCTGTTGTACAAAACGCTTGACAATTATTTTATTGCAGCTACTGATGCGGATATCACGTAGCAATAACTGATTGTTTTAAAGCTTTCTGTTTTTACATTGTTTGTGAACGAAATGTTTATTTTTGGGTTGTCTGTATTTCATTTACAGGATGTTACAAAAACTTTTATTCAGATCTGAGATACTAGCGGTAAGGTAGGCTCGCTTGTAATGTACACAAAATCCTAATTTAAATAAAAATAATTTGTTAGGCGAATTACCCGAGGTTTTCGATTCTTTTCATCATCATCATCAGCCTATAAGTGCCCACTGCTGAGCAAAGGCCTCTTCTCATACGGAGAAGGTTAGAGCATTAATCACCACGCTTGCTCAATGCGGGTTGGCGATTACAAACTTATAATTAGAAATTGTAAGTCTAGGTTTCCTCACGATGTTTACCTTCACCGCATATCAGTGGTGTCTAAATAATCATAGAAAGTACATATAACACACATATATCACATTGGTACTTGCCAGGTTTCGAACCCACACCCTCATGTATGAGAAGCGGGGTTCTTAACCTCCGGCCCACCACGACCTTCCATTCACCAGTCTTTTAGCAATGGTGTAAAACGCTAAACAGATTTGTAATAATATAATAAAGTTAACGTGCTTAAAACTTAAATTTAATATTACGCAAATAAAAAATAAAAGAGATCAACACAAATATAATGTTTCAAACGAACAAAAGCAGAAATCTCAGTTTTATAAATATTACACATATAGATATCAATGTCCAGAACCAGTATGGCATAAACCACGTACCCAACTGTTGCATCATATGAGAAAGATCGACCCACAGATGTCGGTATTGTGCCACTTTCAGCGCCGGATGTTCAGCTCCCAAGGCTTTGTGTAGGTTCATTGCCAAGCCGCGAGACGCCGTACCGAAAGCGTTGCAGTTTATGTACCTGATTTGACATCGGATAATGATTATTATGATAGGGTAAAGTATTTATGACATAGGTTTTTTTGAGGGATGAAAATTATCGTTTTCGTCCTTACTCGGTTCTTACTGAGTAAGATCACCCCGTTCCATCTCCTGCTCAGAGCAGAGCCGCGGAACATCATTGTGTTTTTGTCCCCAAAGGCGGTTGGATTTATAATATGTTTTTTTGAGTTACTTGAAACTAGCAGAGTTTTTCACAGTTAATTTACGTGATTAAGTCGTTATTTTCAAATATTTAAGTATTTCGTGAGCGCCAGTAAGAAAAGCATATTATTGTTTACTATTGAACTTGATGTCTTCGACGAGGATTGGCCGCAGAAAGCTTTGTGTAGAGAGGAGTGAAAAAAGGTTAGGGAGGCCTTTGCTCTGCAGTGGGACGATAACGGCTAATAATAATAAATAATTATATAAATACTTATATAACCAATAATGCTCTACTATGTAGTTTTAAGGTACTCAAAAAAGCTTATGAGAAATTAATCTCAAGCTAAACATTATTTACATCGCCTTAAGTTTACTAATCGTGTTTATTATTTAGTAAATGATTTTATTATTTGAAATGAAAAGAATTATGCTAAGTACAGAGTATTGAATTAGAATAATAACCAACAAATTGAAATAAGCCATTTAAAATTAGAATACTTAAAAAATAAAACTTACCACAGCGAACAAAATCCGTCTAACATGGCAATTATGTGATAGTAAGCGAACGAATGCCATAGCTCGAAGTCATCTTGCAGATAGTGCTGGGACAAGATCACAGCGAAACTGAGACCCCAGGAAAACACGCACAGACCCCAAGTGAGAGAATATAGGTTGGGAAATACAATAGGGGTGCCTGTGATCTTTAAGTATTTCAGCTGAAATTAAAATACAGTTTAAATCAAAAATGGAAAATCGTCAATTATCGACTATATTAACTATTACTGCACTTAAGTATGATGTCAATTCGAAATAAGGGTTTTTTATGTGATGGCACAGCAAAACGAGCAGACGGATTTACTGATGGTAAGGTATCAGCGCCGACCATGGACATCCGCAACAACGGAGGAGTAACGAGTACGTTATCGATCTTTTAGAGCGTAGAGTTTAGGAGATTTAAGGATAGGGGACACACAATCTTCGATATTAACACAAATGTTTATAATTATATTCATAAAATTGACTTCATCCTAGGGTAGGTACAGAGAAAGATGGAGAAGCTTCTTCCAAAATAAATGAATCAGATACGCTAGGGGTGCGGGGCGTGCCAATTTGTTTACATTGTTGCCACTCTCGACTCTTCGTTGCAACGCTGGCATAGATTACGTGACACGAATATTGAAATTATACAACATCTGGCAATATAATATACGTGTGACGTGATACTCGTAGATGGGCTGTCGTTTGCATTTAAGGGTTTCAATTGTGTAATATTTTTTGAGTATTTTCTTTCTTCTTAGGAGAGATCAATATTCATTTACATAGGTCAACGTCAAAGTCAATATCATTTATTCCATTTTTGAACGTCAAACAAAATTTGAAACTTGCAAAAGGTGCTAATAACAGTCTGTCGGTCAGTCCTCTTAGTGAAGCTATTTGCTCGTTCCAAAGTTTTCGATGGAGAAGATAGAGCAAGAAACTCCATGGTTACTGTTTTTAAATCAGTTTCACATACATACATATTTTTTGGTACATTATTTAGTTGGTTCGATTATCTGAGAACAATGTAACACTAATATTTTTTCAGAGAAACATAAAAAGAAAATAACTTAAATAGCTATAGACAGTCCGGAACTGACCAGTGCCAATTGACGGCGCCCGTTCACGAACATGACACGTACACCAGCATCGCCCAACTCAACCATATTATAAGGAATTGAGCAATCCAATGCCCGTGTGCCACCGCCACACACAAATAAACCTTCGGACTTAATAATTTTGAACAAGCTATAGCTGTTTTTATTCTGCTGTATCCTAATGCTATCGGTAGAAGGAGCTGCGAGCCCTTTTTAGGTATTATTTATCGTATTTTTTAATTAATCAGTTATTCAACACTGGTATATTTATTTACTGCATAAAAATAAGTGTAATATTATGGTTAACCACATTTCGACCTCACATTCATCAGTTATGGTTTATTATTCATCTGTATTTCCGCGCTAGTTAGTTCTAGGTCAAATTTAATGATTCGGTCAGGCACACACGACTTCACAAATATTTAATACTTCAATTCATTTCAAATACAAGCCATTACGAGTGGACTTGATCAATATAGCAATTTGTAGGTTGGTGTTTACAGAGTGATCACGCTATATTATAACATTAGTAGCTTCCGCTCGCGGCTTCACGCAAAAATACTTATAAACTTTCATATTTATAAAATTGTAGGATTCAAGAATATAATTATATAGTCGATGTATGCACCAATTTTTTGTGTACATTGATGGAAAACCAATAAAATGTGTACAAAAACAAAACATCACAATACCCTGGAGAAAAGAAGGCAAAAGAGGTCTTATACAACACTTGTAATTCAACAAGCTTGTTCACGGTCAACCATTAAATCATTGCAAGCTTTTTTTTTTAATTTCAACAATGACACACTCCATAATCTATACCTAATTGAGAGACGTGTAGAGAAAAAATGGAGACCATTTTTCTTTAAATAAATATGAACATATCTAATCTTTGTGCAGCAAATACAAGACAGCTTTCAAATCAAAGACAATAACCTCCTACATCAAAGAAACAAAATAGCAAAACTTCTTTATAAAAAAAACCAGAACGGTTCAATTACAAAGTAATACAGAGGTACTAACAAAGAAACATTGTTACATAGGTCCATTAAAAGAACACTAATGGAAGTACTGAAACTCTATACTTGGAAAGGTCTAGCTCTCAATATAAAGGAACCCTTTATGTACTTGTTGAATAAAGATATGTGACGTCTGACCCATTGGTTTAACAATAGCAAGACTAATCTTGACCTAATTCCTAAAAACTATTTTGAAAACGTAGATATTTTCTTATATAAAGTAAATGTGGGAGAGCCAAGCTTCGTCGGCTCGACCGGCGTGATACCACAGCCTTACAGAAAACCGACGTGAAACAACTACAGAGATGTGTTTCGTACCTCCCTCTCCCCCCATCCCTTCCCAAGTCTTAAGTATCCGAAACCCTTATCCCCACAAGGCTGGAACCGCACTCCTAACTCCTTTGATATTGCGAGTGTCCAAGGGCGGTGCCGATTGCTTACCATCAGGTAATCCGTCTGTTCGTTTGTCGAGCTCAGCCATAAAAAATAAATAAATATTAGAGTAAAATATTTTTCACCAAAATGGGCGGCGCACGAACGATGTATTCGTGTTATTTCGACGCACTAGATATTTGGTTCTTTCATAAATATACTACAGAAAGATTCTACACAGCCTTTGATACACGAATCATTCTAAAACAAAATACAACTGTGCCGAAAAGCCTATCCAATTACGGGTTGTCAAAAATCAACCGGTTCCAAAAGCCAATATGTAAATTGAACCCATGTGTTCTAAAAATAGAACTTGTATTCAGCTGTCAAAGAACAATAAAAGTAAGTCATTTAATGCAGTTACAAAATGTTACGACTATTAATCAGCCTAAAATTCAGATTAAAATTAAATTTTAATCAGAACTAACCTGGTAATGAGTCCACATGTTCTTAAAAATAGCAACTTGAGGTCCATGTCGCCACGAGGCAATCGGTAGAAGAAAATGCGGTATTAAAATGCTCAAAAATATAATATTATAGATGACTTCGTCAAATCGCTTATTGGAGCTGTTTTGAAAATTCGCTAAACGCTCTCTGCCCACTGAAAGTAAAATTCGGTTATTGAATAGAAAATTGTTTCCTGACTTTTCAAAAGCGTCACAAAGTTCCATTTGAAATTAGGAGCAATTAAAAGTGACTGCAAAATTCATGGCAACCGGGTCCTTTAGAGAGAGTCCTAAAACTTATAAAGAGTTTTCAATCCTTTTGAAAAACAACTGAAAGGAGTACTTAGTAATTAAATAAAAGTGAAATTAAAAAAAAGAAAATATGATTTCAATGTCTGACGTTTGGTAGGTTAAAACAATGTATTTGTTTTAAGCATCGATCTTTAATAGGATGTTATTATAGAGGCATGTGGAAGCAGCCTGTGCCTATCACGATTCTCAGGCATGAGGGATCGACCCAGTTGAAAAAGAGTAAGGTAACACAGTATTTGTATAATAATTATAATTTCGGATAATATTTGGCAATTCTTACTTAGTGTTAAGAACACAATAAAAAGAGTGTAATTTGAGAATTGCATATGCATAATATCATACCTTTAACGACAATGATGCATTCCAATCCCCATACTAAATACGCCCATAGCGTTGCTTTCGATATCCAGTTGAACGTTGTCCTTTTTGTTGTCTGTGCATCTGTTAACCAGTAAAAATATAACAACATTTGATAAATGGGTATGTCGGATACATCTAAAATAAGTTCAAAGTTCCTCCCTGGTCTCGGGCTTATAAAAGGTAAGTTGAGCGAGTTACTGTTAAACTGTGGAATCAGTCAACTCAGTTAAGAAAAAAACTCAATAAGAATTTACTTTATTTCAAGTTTTAGGTAATAAGTTCAAATTAAACATGTGGGATGTAGGATTTATCCAGGATATATCGACTTACCCTAAATCAGAAAAGACTAAACGCATAATTTGGGTATTAATTCAGAAACCTAGACTATAATTCCCTTTCATATATTTTAGTTTATAGATACGATACTTAGTTTCCTATAAGAATAGTAATATTTGTATGGTTGTGAAAAAATAGAGTATAAGGTACAATGGGGTTGGCGTATCTGTGTGGATAAAAACCCATTATTAAAATAGAATAAAAAAGTTTTTGTTGATTTCCTGATTCGAAATTTACCTTCAAAATGATCGCTTATCTGCTCAAGTAAATTTATATACTGTTCTTGTATCAAACACAAATACCAACGGTGTACAGTCAAAGAAATATAAAAGTGCTGTTCAACATTTCCACTGGATAAAGTTTATTATATTTGAAGGCTTTATGGCTCAACAAAACAAGGATGCAATCTAACGATCCAAGCATTGTTTTAAAGTTATTGGATTCTGAAAAATTCTACACAATTTCTTTCACAAAACTTTAAAACTTATATGTGCTAAAGTAGAAACAAAGTTTTACGACCGCATTCTATCTGATGAAGATGAATGCCGACATTTTGAAAATTTAAACCGAGAATATTTTTAAAGTTTTTCAATTCCATTGTTTTGTTTTGTGCCTGGCATTTATTTGGTCAAAACTGGCCCCAAGGAGTTTGTTAACAGTTTAATAAATCAAAACAATCTACGCTTTTATTTATCAACAAATCATTTTACTGGAGTATTTACATACTTAGTTGAATTTCAATTGAAAAGTGGTTTTAATACCATCTATGTAGATTTATTGGTCTAGTAAAATATCGATAAGTTCTGAATTTAAATGGTTCTGACCTTACAATTCTCTCTTGCTGGAATTAATACCATTCTATACAGAAAATCGATCTTCTGCAATTACATCGACTCAAGGCCGTAAGTCAAACTCACCACAAGCTCATTTTATTGCATATCTAATCAAAATTTATTGGAAATAACGTCACTCCGACGCCTAGGTACTCTGCTGAAGAATAAGAGTCCCGTTGTGACTTGAAACTAGTATAGCTTTTCAAGTAAATTCAAGTGAGTAAGTCTTCGATTTGAATGTGAATTTGTATGTTTGGAACCGCACCCGCAACAACGGAGAAAATACCAGAGTAGGGCAACGTTTAAAAATATACCTACTCTAAAAAAACATCGAATCTAACAACAACACACAATTAAGACATTACGAAAAAGAACACCAGAAATTAAAATAAATTACGTTTCGGCACTCTCATAATTGGCATGACTCCCATAATTTGGAAGAGCACAAGCAAACTCTTCGTTGTGATGTAGAAACTGTCGTGAGCATCCAAAAGGGCTCCATCTTTATCCGTTATCTCCGGCCCATAAAGATCCTTCGCATCGTACTCTAAAAAAGAATATAAAAAAGAAAAAATAATAAAAGATTCATTACAATGATTAAGATGATGTAATCACTTATCTCGCTCATGAAAAATTATGAGAAAACACTTCCTTTTTTTTTCAAAGAGTTTGATTTATTGTAATCTTCTACGTTGTGGTTTCGGTTTATAATTACTGTTGGTGCACGCTTGTATCTACCGCGGCATTTTATATGAAATTGAAATTAACTATATTTTTTTTATATTATTTCAGAATTTGGTTACGGAAGTAAGTGGACTGACGACATCCGCAGGGTAGCTGGCAGTGGTTGGATGAGAAGAGCTGAACATCAAGCTCAGTGGCGTGCAATTGGGGAAGCCTATGTCCAGCAGTGGACGACATCAGGCTGATGATGTTGTGTGTGGTGTAACGACGGAGAAAGCAAAACACTTACGATATACCTATAATAGACATTTTTGTTACAGGATAGCAAACGAGCAGACAGATTACTTGACTAAGCAATCAGCGCCACCTCTGGACACCCGCAACATAAGAGGAGATACGAGTTGGTTGCCGACCTTTTGGGGATAAGAGTTTAGGAGATTTTGGGACTGAGGAGGGATTAGGGGATGGTAAAGATTGGGCCCGTGGTAAATTCACTCACACGGCTAAACATAATGATGTAAGTGTTTCACGCTGGTCTTCTATAAAGCCGTAGTATTTATCGGGTCGAACCGACTCAATCGTGCTGAAGCATCGCTCTCCCACACTTAAATGATAAAATAATGCCATCCTCAATAAATAAGATGCGTTTTTGTAACCAAGTAGACATTAGACCCTCGTTACTCAATGTAACAAAACCCGACAGGTAATGTTCGTTCGGCAATTGATATCTCAAGATTACTTCTATTTTGGATTATAGATAAACTCTCACCTTTAATACCATCTTTCTCATCAATCCTCTGAAACATTTCCCTCTTACGAGTCTCTTTGTTAACCGGATTGGGATTGTAAACCCGAAATCCATTTTCTTTGTTCATAGTTACGCTTTTGTTCCCAAATATAGAAATGGGTGAGAGCCCCTTGCGTCGACCGCACCGAATGAGCCTCGTGAAAGCTCTGGCTACAGAATAGGTAATAATCAATCATAAACCCAACCGTCTCAGCTTACTCGGTTATGCCCGTTTGTCAATAAAGTGGGGTGGAGTTGTGTTGGTATTGTTTTTTTCTTTATTGAATTTTTTTCTGCACTATCACAAACTATTATAAGCTTTATTAGTACTACTTTTTATGTGGTGAGACGGCAAATCTAATGGTGCCTAATGGTAAGTAATAGTGCGTTGCCGATCATTTGGGGATAAGAGTTTTGGAGATTCAGGGATTGGGGAGGGATTTGAAGAAAGGAAGCACTAGGCCTCCAGTAACCTCACTCACAGGGTGAAACACAATGCTATGGTTTTTTTTTTAATTTATACGTTTTGTTTACATTTTTAAATACAAATGAATTGCTGTTTGTTAGCCTCTCTAAAACTCAAGAAAAGCTCGTCGGATTTCGATAATTTTGGTCTTAAAATGTTCGTTAAAGTCCAGGAAAGGTTTAACAGGTAAGTCCATTGGTAATATTTGATGCGATACGAAGTTTGCCGAATCACCTAGTAGTCATATAATAATAGCTACAGCTGGACTGTTACATGTTTGACTCGAAAATTCCTCGGTACGTTATTGGTACTCGTCAGTTCTGATCTCAAATAATAGTTTAAGATATTGTAGACAACTAATTATAAGTTTAATTTTAAAACATCTCCATAATTCAATACCACTACATCTCATTGTATAATCTCATCAAAAGCAACCTATCCTACGTAATCAATTCATAAGCACCACCAAAAAATGTTGAAAGGACACTCCATCCCATTCTCTAGTCGTCAGATACCTCTTGACGCCATATACCGATGACGCCGCAGCGTCGCTCCAACGCCATTAATTCATATTTCACTCTAATGGCGACTTTCGAAAACACTTAACGACCCCTTAAGTGAGATGTAAGCAAGACCTCGTGCCGTAGCGTTAAATATTCAATATCGAATTAAGGACTTGAACAAACCGCAACGATGGAGGTACGTGGTGACGCATTACTAGTTTTTAGGTTATGCCATTAAAAAAATATTTGCAATTAGCTAAACCAATTCACTGTTACTTTATGCCCATAGTATAGACAAATTTATTGTGTAAAAATAGGTTAATAAAACATGATAATTATATGGATGTTTTTAATGCAGAAACAGTACATTAATGTTGTTTTTTATGTGGACACATGAATAACCTGATTGTAAGCAATTGGCACCGCCCATAGACACCTGCAATACCAAATGAATTCCGAGTGCGTCGCCACATTGTCGACCTTTTGTATTTCGGGTTATCGAGATTCAGGGTTCTTAGGAATGTGTCTTAGTTAAATAGATTATCGTTATTTTAAATTAGAAAACGTAAATGAAACTTCTAACATCTTCTTCTTCTTCTTCCCTTTTGACGAAACGAAAAATATTTTTTCGTTAACAATTTTATCGTTTCTGTTACAATCAAGTGAACCAGAACCCTTATAACAACGTCCATATAACGGTGTATTGCATCATTTACAATGCAACAGTTCGAGGTCACGTTACACGGAGAAAATAATGAAAATACCGTCTTTTGTTTTTCAGGTTTGCTTTAAATTTTGTACTGGATCTCTTTATTAAATCGCGTCCCAGAGTCCACAAAAGGTTTAAAAACGTTATTAAGGTACACTGTGACAACGGAGTTGATATTAATTAAGCCATTCAGGTGATTGGTGTGTTCCTATATGTACTTTGTGACAGTAAACATGACAGATACATACTTATTTACGCATAATATAACTATTCTGAGATCCACAAAATTTATTGGAAATAACGACTAACTCACGTGAATCAACTATTCATATTCATTATTGCAACCTATTCCTATTTCAAGTCACAACAGGACTTTTATTCATAAATATTCGTCGCACAGCCGGCTGTTCTCGAGTCCTTTTGTGAACTTGAAACTAGTAGAGCTTTTCTCAGTTAATTTACGTGAGTAATTCTAGAATAAGTAGTTTAGGAGGACGACCGATTAAAATCTGTTTAGCTCGTCAGAACAAAATTTATATTTAAAACTTATTAAAATTTAAAAGTAAAAGCTGGCTATGTCGTTCATTCGTACTTACAGTATTGCAATTTAGCCATTTTTTTATGTGATATAATCAACTTCGCTCATGGGCCCTCGCAATGACGGAGGAGTTACGAGTGCGTTGTCTACCTTTTGGTGATTTTGGGAAAGGGAACGGATTGGGGAATGACTGGGCCTCCGGTAACTTCAAGCACACGGCGAAACACATTTTTTTGGTTATTTTCGCCGGTTTACTGTGAGGCCGTGGTATTACTCCGGTTGAGCCGACCTATTCGTGCCGAAGCATGGGTCTGCCATAGACCAGCAAAGGCCTATAAGGGCTATTGATATTAAGTGTTATTGATTTGTATTTAAGGTGCTCTAGCCATTGCCTACTACTAAATACGTGATCCCCAAATCCCAAACCCCAAACTCTTAATAGGCAGAAAACACATTAGTGATTCCTCTGATGCTGTGGTTATTCATTAGTGACACCAATTACATACATTCTATATGCGACAGCACACATACAATTCAAAATTAAAATAAATAAAGAGTGTATATTTAAAGAGCGAAGAGGAGCAAAACAAATTATCCGCATCCCAGTAAATGATCAAACATGCTTACGTCAATTTATATTCAATTAATCCGCCGTTACGTTGGTAATGAAAACATTACGCTGTTTATATTAAACAGGTTGTCGTTAACAGAATTTTTGCAACTTTAATACATGGTGTAAAAAATATTTTTTTTTTCATTTAAATTTTTTGTTAATAGTAGCGTGAAGACGTCAAGAAAAGAAATGAAAATTACTTGCTGAAATTTAAAACCTCGAGTAATGATGAAAAAAATAAGTATTATTATAAAATTAATATGTTCAAATTAATAACATTTTAAATCAACAATATTAGCAACACATTGGATTTTGTGAACATTTTTTTTTTTTGTAAATCCGATTTAGACTGCAACTGATTAAGTTAGATGACAAAACTTACTTTCTATTCGAGATTACATAAAAAATTATATCTTTTTATTATGTGACACAATAATAATAGTTTTTACAAAAAATAATTTAGTAAAATAATAATTTTGATATTTATCTTATTAATAAAGTCTGTAATGGGACCAAAACCAATGAGGATAATTGAAAAATTTGGATCAAAGGAGGAAAATCGGAGATTCTTATTACAGATCCTCGTTTGTTTAACAACAGCAATTGTTATGCAAACACCGCCCCTACTATCTGTTTCCTTAATTGAATATTTTATTTTGTAAAATTCGATTATAGTAATGAAAATGCTTATTAATTTAAAATTTCGTTAAGTTGGTACCTGATTTACTTGGAAGGTATTGATCGACTCACGCCACCGACAGGACCCAATAAGGCTGATGTTCAGGTTTTGGGTCAAGCGGAATAATGCATCACGGCCTCGACCAGGAGCAAGAGAAGAAATGGGGTGGTTTTTAGTCAGGCAGTCTGACTCTGCCCTAACCAAAGCTATTAGAGGAGGAAGAAAGGCATTGATTATTGAAATTACTGAATGGCGTTTTCTGTAGTCTCTATCAGTTGAGGTGTCCGTGTACGTATTTTGTGTAAAGTTGAAACTTAATGACAGCACAATTATTGGTAGGTAATTTACTTTCGTTTGTATGTGTCTGAATATATAACCAATTCACACACTTCAAAATCAGTATTGCTACTTAAATACTATAAGATATTTCGATATCAAGACTCTATTAAAACACTTTTTATTATTCTGTTTTTTTTTCGATTTAACTAATGGTTTTTTTATTCTTTGCCAATGAGTTCTTGTAGTAGTGGCTTTGCCTTAGGGCGTTCAGACGTTGCTCTAACTACTTGCATTTGTATACGTCGTGGCCCGTAACGTTCTTATCTCGTCGCTTTGTCATAGGACAAGGCTCCTCAACGCATTTGTTCTCAGCACATATTTTTGCAATGTTTTCTGCAAAAATGCTGTCTTTAGATATTATTTTATTATAAAAGAAATAATGAGCTCATTAAACACATGCTCATTCAGAAATACTATATGTACGTTACTATACGTGGTTATTATAATGAAATTTAAAATGTCCTTTCAGTTGCAGTTTTATTTTATAATTAGGTTATAATGTAAGTTCTTAGTTTCGGTGGTTGAGTGGTAACAAACGCAATTTCTTCGCAATGAAAGAAATCAGTTGTCTAGGAATTGATAATTATTTTTTTAATACTTATATTAGGACCGTGGAACCTCATTGTGCTTGCATTCGCAAGTGTAGCTTAATATCGACCATGTTGGGCCCCATGTGGTGTGGTGTGATGAATCTTTGGGGAGCGCGTGAACGCTATGCGTCGTACGCCTGGGTCTGATTCTGATCCAAAGACCCACGCTTACGGTGCCCAATAACTGAATATAGTATTCACAACATAAATAATGGAAAGTTGACATAACCCAAAAGCGCCTATGTTTGAAACTTAGGATCGTAGTTAAGGAATTTACATCGATAACTATATCTAATTGTACGAAAGGTCCCCGTAACTTGACGTATCAGGGCAAACGGTCCTAGAGAGTCACGTTCCGAAACAACTAAACGTAAGATTATACTAGAACAGAAGATATTGTTGGCGTCAGTCTGCCTTATAGCCTACGTGGTCCATTTTACCGTCGATTCCCGCAATTTATAGCGAAGACAAGTTCACCAGGATGTCATTTCATTTTATCTTTTCAATAATCTCACATAGCTTATCACTAGTTTTATTGTTTTGTAAACTTCCATTATTTTTCATTATTCCAATTAGGGTACAAAGAAACTATCTTAAGCTGTACAGAATTCCATGACAATTTAAATCATTATTTTAAATGAACTACAAATG